CTCACACACAGACCCCCCCCCACAATAACTGGAGCCAGCTCTCAGTAGGACAGAGGCAGTGCTGCAGCAGTGACTCAGAACCTGACTGTACATTATTGACAGAGAGGATCTCAGACAGACAGCTGAATTACACTGCGGCCTGCAGTTTGGCTGAGGCCCCTTTAAGAGAAAGTTGGGAGCAGCGAGGGCTCAGGTTAAGCCTCCGCTGGCCTGGTTCCCGTGCCCCTCCCCCAGCTCCCGGCGGCTCGAGGGTGGGAGGAGAACATTCCCCAGACAACAGAGCGCTGCCTGTGTGTGCGCTGCTTCCTGCTCTGCCGTGCCCTGCCCCCTGCTCTGGCCTGCCCCCGGGTCAGTCCCTCCGTCCGTCCCATAGTGACGTCTCAGCCAGCTCCGGTCACAAGATCCCATTCCAGCGCTCACAACAAACAGCCCTTTCACAGCACAGCACAGTCCATTTAGTGCCTCAGCTGATCCGCCCCATTTATTCTTATCCTTTATCCTGATCTCACCCTAAAATCCCCATCACAAAAACAACACAGGGAAATGCCGGGAAGCCAGTAACACTGGGAATAGTGTGTACGTCTGTCTGTACACATGTGTACATATGTATGGATGTCTGTACACATGTGTACATATATATGGACATCTGTACACATGCGTGTATGTGGATGTCTGTACACACATGTGTTTGTATGTGAATGTGCATACATATGTGCATGTATATTTAGATGTGTGTGTGTGCATATGTATGTGTGCGAGTGTGGTGAGGACAGGAATGGGGCTGTGCTGTGGGTGATTCAGCTGCTAACGCTCACCATCAGGTCTGACACAGAGGAAACACACGCAGAAACTGGGACATTTTCAGTGTACAGCAGGGCACCGGGCCCTCATGTCAGGGCCAGCCATTCCTGAGAGGGAAATGTAGAATTATTGGGGGGTGGAGGAGATGATCAACTGTGCAAAAAACAGGAGGTGCTGTTAGGAAAGGTGGCAAAAGTCTCTACATTTCAAAGTAACTCATTGTGTGAAAGCACTTTGAGATGTTTGGATATAAGGCACTGTATCACGTTATTATTGTAATTAGATAGGAGTGCTCCTTCCTAAACACACACACAGGCACAGAGAACAACTTGCATTTATACAAAATTCTTTACGTTGAGTGTGTCTCAAAGCACTTTGAACAGAGCACAGAAAACCACATACACTCACACACATCCAGACACTCACAGACACATACATACACAGATAGTCGGATAAACACACATAGATACCCCAACACACACCCTCACACACAATTTAAAACAGGTAGGATGGTGAATCTGGGGCTGAGATCATTCCAGATCACCACACCACTCACTCAAGGAATCTGAGACAGAAATAAACCACAGAGCAACTTCGCGCCATGAACAGCCCCTCATCAATCAGAGCAGCTACAGTCAGGTCCACAGGGTGACACATCCCCAGTTTACTGAGCCCTGCTGTGACACCACCAGCGGGGCTGGTTTTACAGGCAGCCAGTGGGTATCTGCAGAGACATCAACGACATGATAAGGCACTATATCAAATGCAGAGATTACTATTATCATCATCATCATTGTGGTAACCATTGCAGAACATGAAAACATAACTCTGGCATGTTCCTACGTCTGGGCATCCCAACAACTGGGATATATTCCAGGGATGGATCTCAGTACAGTACAGTGAGTCAGTGTTCCTGGTAAGCGGGTCTCCAGAACTCCAGCACATACCAGTGTTTACAAACAGGATCTCAGTCGCTCCTAGCAACAGCCTGCTTTACGATATCTATTTTTTGTGCCTTGGCAATGTTAGCTTCCTTTCAGGGTGTGAACAGAGACTGCCTCGTTCTTATTAAGCTGCTCGGGGCTAAGTTCCGCTGTTTCCTGACCTTGAGACACCCTGCAGGCTCTCCTCCCCAATGCTGGATGGGGGACAGAGGGACTCGGGAAGTGGCTTTGCTGCTTAGCAGTGGGAGGGGCAAGGATAAGGAAGCGAGCTCCGACCTTCCTTTCCACGTCCCAGCCCAGGAAACCCACTCCGACTCCCTGACTCCGGAATTGAGGGAACACTGGAACGCTCACTCCTTCTGCTGTTTCACACATTACACTGATGCCCACACCCTTTCCCGCTTCCACTTTTACAGCAAAGTACAGGATACATTGTCTGCCCTGCCTTCCCTCTGTGTGAAACTACAAGTCAGCGCCTTTTAAAAACTACGGTAAATAGGAAGCATATTGATCTCAGACCTGGTGCTAGAGAAGGGAGTTTCTCTTCCCGGTGCCCGGCCAACAATTAACCACATAAAATGAGTCACTCACTTCATGTTCTGCGCATAACTTGGCATAGCAACACCGCACAGTCAGAGGTGCATTAAACTGTGTCCTGGTCAATAAGCCCCAAATAAAATTGGTCACTCACTTCATGGCTGTTTGTGGGACATTGCTGTGTAGAAAATTGGCTGCTGCGTTCAGCCACAAAATACACTTTATAGCAATTCCCCAAAATCGTCAATCAGCAATTCTCATCTCAGCCCTTACAGGATATTACTGAAAAAGAAACGCCTCTGTAACATTCACTTTCAATTACTTCTATTATTTTCCATGAAAGACATAAAAAAAAGTTATTAAGCACACGCCTGCAGTAAACCCCTCTCACACACTCGCCCAATGTATTTCTCTCTCTCGCACACACAGGATCTCTCGCTTTTTCTCTCCCAAGCCAGTAATGAGTGTACAATTTTAGTCAAGTTTGAAAAGATAAATGACAACAATCCTTGCATTTGATATAGCGCTTTATCACCTCGTTGAGTCGCCTCAAAGCGCTTCACGGAACACATACTGTAAAGTGGAGTCACTGTGTATTTTGTGGAAGAAAGATCATGAAAAGGCTAGTCAGCATCCCGAAAGGAAGCCAAGCCAGTGAGCTCACATCCTGTGACAGGTCCTGGCCTCCAGGGAGGGGGACATGTCTACACTCGTTACACAGGCAGCTGCTCAAGGTTCACCAGAATTGGATAAAGCTAGGAGGTTGCTGCACTTTCCCGCCTCACTGCTCCTTTCCTGAGCACCGACTGACACAACCCGGGACCCTCCAGGGAGTAAGTTTGTTTTGCACCCGAGACAGAATCTTCAGGGAAAAGGCTGTTGGAAACAAAACGTTTTCTGTGAGGGAGGGAGCAAAAAATGACATTGTCACACTTGGGAGTATCTGAAGGATAACAGTGGATGAAGCAGCTCAAGCCGTCAGATTTTAAACAGAATTATGTAAAACGGGGAAAAAATTTGGTCACTCAATCCACGACTGTTTGTGGGACATTGCTGAGCGCAATTGGCTGCTGGGTTTTGCCCACAAATACACTCTTAATCCACTTTACAGTATATTCTGTGAAGCGTTTTGAGACATCTGAACGACATAAGGAGCTATATCAAATGTAAATATTATTATTATTAATAAACAAGCCACTTGCTGTTTATATTCAACACAAACTTTCAGCCCTCTCCTATACCCCTTGAACAAGCTAAATATATTCACCTACAAAGTAGTCACTACACTCTATCGTAAAAGCCATGAAGTTTTTTGAGACGTCCTACTGATGTGAAAAGCACTGGATCAAATATAAAGAGTTATCTTTGACACAAAAAAACCATCTCAAATGGCTCCACAAGATTAATTATACATGAAGTACATATTAGCTAAGCAAACACAGCGGCTAATTTGAATGGGAAAAACCAGAGGTGTGGAGTATTAATTTGAGTTTTTTGGTGGATTTAGATGAAGAAGGAAGCCAGGAAACAATGTCAATGACTCAAGGGCTCAACAAGTTACTCTGAAATCAGCACTAGTTATCAAGGTCATAAACTGACCGTCACAATGGACGTCAATTGCTACATTCTTCCCAACTGAGCCGAGACGGATAACGAAGCACATCTGCGACATTCATTTCAATTCCTACCCACGGGAATGGGATGAGTGCTCGCTCTGCAGTAAAAGGCAGCTTAAAGTCATGTGTGAATAATTGGTTCATACCCGACGATTGTAGGCAAAAGCATCTCCTGATAGAGTGAAGAAAACATCTTGAGGTTTGATTGCTGTGTTGGCAGATCACAGCCAGCCCAGTGCAGGCACAAGTGGCCTCAGTGCCCTTCCACTGAAGTGGGAGGAAGGAGAAGGCTCCCCACCTCATACTTGGCTGATCAGTCTCAGCTGTGACCCCCTTCAGCCAAACAAGCTGCCAACCTCACCGTCTAGACTCTTAGCCTCAAGAAAGGCAACTTGGGTGGAGAGGTGTCTGTGCCAATGGAGCCGTACCTCAAGTGCAAGAGAAAGATATTTTTTCTTCACAGCTGGGATTTGGAGGGAGTGATTGATATACACATTACCGGTGGCTTCAAACAAAGCAAAAGTCAGTCAGATGCCAGGCCACAGCAGAAAGACTGGCAGGAGTGGTCTGTTGTCTGCCAGGGCCACCCACCTTCATGGCAGGCAAGAGTAAGGGTGGGCAGCTGCTGTCAGACCCCCGCCACACACCTTCCAGGCGCCAAAAAAAATCCTGGGGAGAATTAAATTAGCTTTAAAAAAACAGCCCTCTTTTTGTGAGATAAAGATTGTATTTTGTCCCCATTTCAAACCTCTGGCTGGCTCGTCATGTGCGACAGAACACGAACAAGCGCGGCACTTTGCTGGCAAACCGCCCCAGCTTTAACGCAGCGTCGAGAGGAAAGCTGCGGTTGATTCTTGCCAACTCTGAACTTTCCCCTACTTGGGGCTGACAAAAGGGGCAGTGTCTCTTTAAAAGGAGCGAGCAACACATTCCTCCCAACAATTGGCCGCAGGGGAAACTCCCCTCCCCCCCCACCCCCCACGCTCACTGCACATTTCCGTGTGAATGCACAAGTTAACCCCTTCAGCCCCAGACCAGCCAGAAAACTGACCGAACAGCAGCCCCCACCCCCCACCCACCCCCGCACCAAGAACACAGAAGATCAGTTTAAAATAATTTTAATTCGTGTAAATTACACCATTTGTACAACAGCAACAAATTGTTACAGTACTATAAAACAAGGGGAGGGGAAAAATAAATCCTAGCACTTTGTAATTTTAAACACAAATAAGGAGTCTTTATAGAACAAAGACGATTTAAATTAATGAATACAAATAAGGTTTCGCGAAGGGAAAAAATCATGTCCCTTGTTATCTCATCGGGGAGTTGTGAAAAAAAACAGCAGCAACTCTGCCCTGACTCAAAGTGAGAGAACTTCTTCCCTCCCACATCCTCCTGTTAGCACTTAAAAACTTTTGAGAATAAAAAAAAGACTTCATTCCCCCGCCTCTCTTTTCTCAAAGTAGGGTGTTCAACATTACACACTGAACAAAAGAAAACTCTCTTCCCCCCCTTCCCTTCCCCCCGCATTAAAACTTGGACGAAGTCCAAGAAAGGAAAGTAGGGAAATGTCTGGCCTTTCGTGTCAAACAGCTTTCTTCACAAAAAAAAACTTCCAATCCCTCATCTGAGGGAACTTCTCCACGTGCTTCTCAGGGGCACCTTTGGGGTGAGGGGGTGGGGGGGAGGGAGGGGGTCGAACAGTTGAAATACAACTTCCCAAATACTCCCCTTGCTACATCCGTGGCCCTCGCAGAACCCCTGATATCCAGAGTAAACCCATTAAAGTCCTTCCTTCTCTTCTTTGCCAAAATCTTCAAAAGGCAACAATCGCCCTGCTCCAGGAACCGATGTTGCTCAAGACCTGGTCACAGCAGATCTGCCCGGAGCTCTCCCCCTCCGTTTCTCCCTCCTTGCTCAAGAGTCCAGAAAAACTAGAGCCGAAGATAGTGATGAGATTGGAGACGTTGGAGGTTTCCATCTCCTCCTCCTCTTGGTGACAGTGTTGAGTGGTGGTCGTGGCGGTTAAAGGTTCCTGCTCTTTCTTGGCCTTTTTGAGCGGGGTTTCTGTCTCCGCTTCCCCTTTTTCAGCATTTCTCCTTTTCCTGGGACAAGGCAAAGTTTTGGTCGCTAAGTCACAGCTCAAAGGCTCCTCCTGCTCTCTGGCAGCCCTCAGCTCCCTGTGTGCACAGCACTCCGGCAGCGAGGCTTTGCCCACAGTCTGGCAACTGTCTCTCTCTTCACTCGAGTCAACTTTCTGAACCGAAACTCGGTTGGCGTCTGTCTCAGAATCCACGCAGACTTTGCCCAACTCTGTCCAGCTTGGGGCTGGCTGACAGTTAGTCCTTTTCTCCACCTCTGAGGCAGACGTGCGCTCCTCCACCGCAGCCCGACTTGGCCCTTGGTCCCCTGAGGCTTCGTCGGCAGTCTTGGGGGTGTCACATACTGTCCTTTGGTCCATCTCAGCCCAATTGGAACTCTGATCTCCAGGGATCTCACAGACAGTCCTTTGCTCCATTTCAACCCAACTTGGCTCTTGACCTCTAGGGATCTCAGGCACAGTGTCAGGCCAACTTGGCGCCTGGACCCTTGAGGCCTCGTTGGCAAATTCGGGGGTGTCGGAGACAGTCCTTTCCTCCATCTCAACCCAACTGGGTTCCTGATCTCTGGGGGTCTCGGAGACGACGGTCCTTTCCTCTATCTCGGCCCAGCTTGACCCCTGCTCTGCGGGGGCCTGGGACATCTCCTGTAGGCACAGCTCCTCTTGGTCGCTCAGGTAGACCTGTCGGGCGCTCCTCAGGACCAGGGACACCAGCAGGTTCCTGTGCAGCTTGATGCCACCCCTCTGCACCCGGGAGCTGTAGATCTTCCCCAGGGAGATGGTCATGATGCGGTGGGCCTCCACCTTGAACTCCATCATCGGCAGTTGAGGGGAGGGTTTTTGTTTAATTTTAAACAGACGGAGCGAGTAATGGTTCTCCGGTTCCTCCCGCGCAAAAAAAATAATTAATCTTCCCGCCTCCTCCTCCGATTTGCTTTACGATAAATAAGAGGAGCCCCGAAGGAGAAGATTAAGCGAAGGAATGAAGTTCGTCCGCGCAAACCGACGGCGGCCCCGGAACTTTCCCAACGATGTCGAGGTTTGAATTCAGTGTGAAGCCGGGCCCGGGCCGCGGGGTAACGTGCGAGTGAGTAACGGGAGGAAGGGCCTGGTTTGTAGGCGCGAATCCAACCGCCGGCGCCGCTGCCGCCGCCGCTGCTTCTCACTCCCGCTGATCGGCTGCTGAGCCGGGGTTTGCCGCTCTCCTGCGCCGCTGTAACCGCTCCTGAACCCGAAGCTCCTCCACCGGCGTCGCTGCCGCTGACTGACTAACGGTTTAAAAATAGCCGCTATTTATAGCCTCCCCACCGCCCCCACGCCAGCCAATCGCAGCGCACAAACCCATGCCGCTGGCCAATCACAGCGCACGCACGAACACTCCCCCCCCCGCCAAACGGAAGCTCCCCCCCCCCCGCTCACATCGGCCAATGGGAGCCCACGCTCGCCGCAGCTTTATTTGAATAGGATTCGTCACCAAAGAGAGCTCTTAAAGCGGCACTGCCCGCCCCCTCTCTCCCAGCAATTACGGTTCTGACCTAAAATCAACAACAACAACAAATTGCCCTTCAGGACGGGAAACAGGTCCGAAGACGCTTAAGTGGGTACAGAAGCTTCCAATCCCCCTCTCCCGTCTTTAGTCCAAAAGACCAAAACTAAGGATAGTGCGGAAATATGAAAAATTCTTGAATTCCGTCTTACATTTTAAACTGGTTGTTTTTATCAGAACTGCTGAATTCTGGCCTCCTAATCAAGACTAATGGCCCAGAGTGCAATATTGGGACAAGTATAACAAATTCCATTGAAGTGGTGACATTTTGGATGTAGCTCATAAGATAGTGGAATCAATGGGGATAACCAATATTTTACCCAGGACAGTTTGATAGCCATGTGCAGCTGGGCTGATCAATGGCAAATGAAGTTCAATGTGGATAAATGCAAGATGCTGTATACAGGAACCATGGGTTTTCCATGAAAAGGGCCCCAGGGATATGTGTAGGCTTAATATTACAGTGTCAAAACAATAAGCAACAGCAATAACACACTTAGACCCTGGCTAGCCAGACTAAGGGGAGGGGGGGAATCCAGTTTGTCGGGCCAGAATTACTGGCTAACAATGTCCCACCAACAGTCGTGGAGTGAGTGACCACATTTTTTTTTTAGGGTGGTGAGGGTTAATACCCCCAGAAAGCGATCTGCCAATTGACTAACAACCGGGCTCCTACGTCCTGCGAGGTAAACAGAGGTGTGTGGAGTAAGGAAACTTGCCTAAGGTTTCTATGAATGACCATCTGGGTCTATTACTGATTCCCCAAAGGAATCAAACATCTTCAGGCCAGGAGGAGCAACAATTGGAGGGGGGAATGGTAGAGCGCGCACCGGTTCAGAGCTGTGAAGGGTAATATTAAGCCAGCCACCAGGAAGAATTTCTTTAAATGGAAGGGAATCAACAGCTGGGCTGGGCTATCAGGAAGTGTGGTTGAGGGGAGGGGAACACTAGGGTGGGTTTTCCTGAAGTCATAAAACTGACTAAACATTGGTCCTTATCCAAACCTCTCCTGTGATGTTACTGCAAACTGAAATCAGTCTAATTCAAACTTTTGATCTGTAATCGTAAGGAAAAATTGATATCCTTCAACCCCATTCCCAAAGATCACAGTTCTTTAATGTAATAGTTGAGATGCAATTTTACAGATTGCCTCAAATTCAGTCATTCAAGGAGTCACAGCTCATCTCTCATCTCAATATAATAACCTGCTGGAGAGCCCTTCTACCATTAATAATAACATCCATTAATAATAATAATAATACTTGCATTTGATATAGCGTCTTACCATGTCATTGAGACGTCTCAAAGCTCTTCACAGAATATATTGTAAAGTGTGTATTTGTGGGTGAAACATTAAGTGTTGGAACCGACAGCAGCTTAAAGCAATTGGCTGCTTTATTTCACCCACAAACTACGCAGTCACTACACTTTACAATCTATTCTGTGACGTGCTTTGAGATGTCTCAACGACATGATAAAGCGCTAAATCAAATGCAAATATTATTGCTGTTATAACTTGCCTAAGGTTTCACCTTGCCTGGAAATTAAAGCCGGGTCCTCTTGCTTGCGAAGCGAGCACTCCAACCAATACACTACAGGATCCACATCCCAATGCAGTCCATGTAGTCACTCCCAAATTTAAAACTAGGCAAGAGCAGTGAAGCCTGTGCTGAATTAATCTCCTGCTGACACATACTGTCTCACCTCCCACATGGAGGAATGAGGTATGGAGAGTGAGGGCAGTGGGAGAAACTCAGAAACTGAGACACCAGACCCCAGGGACATGTCAGCCCCTTCATGAAGGAAAGAGGAAAGAGAAAAATTGGGAAGAAACAAATTGTTAAAAATTCCCTAGAACTCACCAGGAAGTGAGACATAAAAAGATCAATGAGAATGGGTGTGTTGCAAGGCAATGTTGTCATGAACCCTCATTGCTGTGTCAGTCACAATATGTGGCACAGAGCTCAGCTCAGACTGTGAACAGGTTCCTAGCCATTCTGTCCATCTACACAGCCAGCTTTCTCTTCTCTCTTCTCCAAGTTTCCAAGCCACCCCCTCATAGGAACAGGAGTAGGGCATTCAGCCCTTTGCGCCTGTTCTGCCATTCTATTAGATCACAGCTGATCTGCACCTCAGCTCCATTTACCCGCTTTTGTCCTATATCCCTTGATACCCTGACTTCAGAATCCCCCCAAAAAATTGGTTACTCATTCTGTGGGACTTTGCTCTGTGTAACTGGCTACCATATTTTGCTCACAAAATACAGTCACTACACTTTACAGTATATCTTGTGAAGCATTTTGAGATGTCTCAAATGACGTGATAAAGTGCTATATCAAATGCAAGTGTTCTGATTCTTATTTATCAGCTTCCCATTGCAGCTGTTGTTCCTTATACCACCCCCCACTCCACCCCCACCTCCCAAAGATCTGTTAATCAACTAACAACCGGGGTTCTACTTATAGCGAGATAAGCAGAGGTGTGTAAAGTAAGGAAACTTCCTTAACGTTTTGCTCTGCCGGGAATCGAACCCGGGTCACTCGCTTGCAAGGTGAATGTTCCAACCACTGAGCCATAGGACTCCACGATGGGGAGAGAGCAGGAAATGGGATTAGAGTAGAGAGCTCCAGTGGTGGAGCGAGCACCAGCACAGACACGATGGGGGGACAGCAAGGAATGGGATTATAGTAGAGAGCCAAAGAAGGGACCCAGGACTGCCTTTAAGGGCAGAGTACTGTATGTTGGTGAGGAATTTCCGGCTGATGTAATGTGTGTGTCAGTTTCAGTCAGTCATGTGCTGGGAGGAGAGACGGGTTCCGCACAGCGGTGAATGTGACAAGTTTCCTCTGAGTTGCGTTTGATGTGAATTATTGAATCCCAGTCAACAACATGCCAGAGAGAGGAACAAAGGAACAGCAATAGGGCATTCAGCCCCTTGAGCCTGTTGTGCCATTTTATTAGATCACGGCTGATCAGCAACTCAACTCCATTTACCTGCCCTCCCGCCCGCCCGCCCGCCACCCCAAAGAGACCGAGTGGGAGTGTTGGGAGGCAGGGTGACGGGCTGGGAGGCAGGGAATGGTGGGATGTGACATTTACTCTGGTCCCTGATCAGCTGATAACTTTACCAAATGACAACACCTTAAGAGCCAGCACTACAAGGAATAGTTTCCATTGCCCTGACGTCAGACGGAGACGTGCCTTAAAGACACGAGTTTCCACTATTTACAGTTTCACAGTAGGTGCAATCTGGGGAGGAGGGGCGAAGGGACAGAGGAAAGAGAGACGGGGGGGGGGGGGGGACATGGGGGGGGCATGGGGGAGGGACATGGGAGGGATAAGGGAGCACCTCTGGCAATGCAGCTCCTCCCTCCTCTCCCCAGCACTGCATTAGAGCGTCAGCTTGGACTGTAGCAGCAGCTCTTCAGAACCTTGTAATGTGTAACAGTCAATGGCAATGTTACATCAGGTCTGAGTCTCAGCCAATAAATACAACCACTCACACCCCAACTCCAACCTACATACAACCCTATACAACCCTTCCCCCCACTCCTCCCACAAACACATACACACACATTCCACACACACCCCCACACACATATATATATATATATACGCAAACACATGCATCATTCCTCCCACAAACATACCCACAAACATATCCCACATATGTCCACATACATACCCCCCACCCCCACACACAGAATCATACTCACATACTAAACATGCAGACAAACATAAACACATAACTCACACATCTGCACATACCACATATGGCCACACACAAGCCTACCACACATATCATACATATGACCTCTCCCCTCGCACCCCTCTCACACACATACATACACACACAGAAACACACACATAAACCACAAACGTGCATCACGCATACCCACCAGCAAGAGTGACCAGGTTGGGGTCAGGAGCAGGAACCCTGCGTGACTTTCCCCTCCCTTAGCCCAGATCTCTGGGACCACCTGACATCCAGCCAGCCTTGCTGTGAGCAGCCTGGGTTTGTTTGAGCGGACAGCTCCCCCTCCCACACAATTGATTTACTCGCCATTTCAAGGTTTAACAGTGAGGATGGTGACTGGGGGGCTGTGCTAGCACTAGGTCGGTAATGCGGTCTGTGAGTCAGTACCTGCAGGAGAGGAAGGGAGAAAGTGGACACTGAGGGTGGAGAGGGCTTGAGGTCAGCTTGGTGTCTGTAGCACACTGACCTGACAAATAGGGATCATTTGTCACTGGTTTAGACTGAGAAACCCCATTGTAAATAAGTAACAAAACCACTGTACTGAGTGCCCTGGAGAAGAGAGAGAATACACCCACACACATCACCGAGCATGTTATACTATCACAACAACAATATTAATAACATAATAATAATTCTTGCATTTGATATAGCGTCTTATCAAGTCATCGAGACATCCCAAAGCCCTTCACAGGATATACTGTAAAGTGGATTGACTGTGGGCAAATTTGTGCACGACAATATCCCACAAACAGCCATGGAGTGAGTGACCAATTTTATCTGGGGGATTGTTGGCCAAGAAACAGGTGAGAGAGTAAGACCCTTTTCCTTTCCAATAGCGCTGCAGGATCTTTAACATCCACCTGAACAGGCAGACAATGGTACATCCATGAGTGTGTGTGTGAGGGGGGGGGTAGGTTGTTTGGCTGGGGAGTGCACATGCAAACACATCACTTGTCTGTCACAAGATGTACAAACAGAGTGGGAGGGACCTACACAGCAGGCCAGCGGCTCTGTAGAGGCCGGATGTCACACACGCGCACGTGCACACACACAGGTCAGCCGCTGTTGAACGCAATGACTCTTTAGATGCTCCGTGCACTTGAACACTGTGCGGTTACCAAAGCAAAGCACGGGGTGGATATTTCCCGCCCTGAATAGCACAACCTGACAACTGAGCTCACTTCCCTGCACTGCCAAAAAAGGCGGTGTTATGCGCTGATGTCTTGGGATAAGAGAGAGAAAACGTGAGAGAGATTGAGCGTAAGAAAGTGTGAGAGCGAGAGAGAGAAAGCGTGTGAGTGCGTGTATGCGCACGCATTGCACAGTCAAACGACCTGCCCACACACACGTACACTCATGGATCTACCATTGTCTGCCTGTTCAGGCTGGATGTTAAAGATCCCATGGGGCGGTGCTGTGTGCTGGGACTTGGGAACAGCTCACTCACTGAATGATGCATGTGATCTGATAGCAACACAAAAGCCCAGGCTTGTGAGGGTGAGAAGAGGCGGTGCTAACCCAGTGGTTTGTTTATTTGCTTCTATTGGAGAATAAGGCAGCCGCCATCAAATGGCCTACTTAACTGCAGTACTCAAAAGGCTCATAAATAACTAACTATTCCTCATTGCAAACAGTTAAGACTTGCCACATTACATAAAGTGTTACTCTCACTGAAAATCTAAAGCAGTCACCTGATACACACATGTATCTCAATGTTGCCAGTGTATCGAAAGTAAACAGAAATTAATTTAATTGACTTGCTACTTATTCCACCTTCCCCAATGCTGACACATGTGTTTTATGGGGTCTCCTTGAAGCTGAGTTGGCTCCACAGTAACATGGTTGGCAATTCTAACATGTCAGAATCAAGCCAGCCCTCTGTGGTGGTTTCTGAGTATTCCAGGGCACGGTTGATGACAGCACAGCTCATTTGCAGGACCTAGAATCACAGACCAGTCACTGGGAGTGAGGAATCCTCCCACTTAGGTCCTGTTAACCCTGCAAGCCAAAGCCCTAACGGGTAGGCTGGTCCCATCTGGACAAACAGCAAGAAAGCTAGCCAGACAGTGCTAGCCCTGGCAAGCTATGTGGTTTCAGCTGGTTAGACTCCAGCAGTTACCCTAACATACTTTCTGCAGTCCCCAACTGCAATCTCGATTCTGCTCTTGCCAACCTGCGCCTAATACTTTCCAGAATTAGGTAAGCAGGATACGTCTTTCCAGGGAGAGAGTGCGCATTTCATTCCAACAAGTTACCTCTGGAATTTCCATGTGTAGGTGGGCTGCATGGCATTCTCAGCTTGCTTTGGATACTCTCGGATACTCATGGTGATAGGTGGACAGACCCCGCTGATCTGAAAAAAAGCATCTATCATGCAATGTTGACTACTTGACTGAGGAAACATCACAGCCAAGACTGAGCCTGTCCTCACCTGACTTCGAAACACACACACTTCCCTGGAAGGGTTCTCTGGACGGAGATAAGTGGAAACCATGTCTGATTTCCTCCTTCTTAATTGACACATACTCTTCCAATCATTGCCCCAAATGCAATCAGCCATTCAGCAGGAAGTGGGATTGGAGCCTGCCGCCATATAATCATATCCTTACATTGGATATGGTGCCTTTCACATCACGAGGATGTCTCAAAGTGCTTCATAGGATATTCTGAAATGTGTATTTTTAGGCAAACAGCATTGTCCCACAAACAGCCATAAAATGAATGACCAATTTTATCTGAGGGATTGTTGGCCAGGACACCAGAGGAGAGAAACTCCCTTATAATAATAATAATAATCCTTGCATTTGATATAGCCCTTTTCACGTCGGGAGGACGTCCCAAAGCGCTTCACAGAACACACTGTAAAGTGAATTGACTGTATATTTGTGGGCGAACGCAGCAGCCAATTGCGCACAGCAATGTCCCACTAACAGTCGTAGATTGAAAATGACCAATTTATTATTGTTTTTGGTTTTGGAGGGATTATTATTAGGCTCTGTGTGGAGTAAGGAAACTTGCCCAAGGTTTCACCGTCTGCCGGGAATTGAACTCAGGTCTCTCACTTGCAAAGCGAGTGCTCTAACCATTGAGCTACAGGACTCCTCCTTCTCTTTGTCAATAGTGCCATGGGACTTCCCCCAGCACTGCACTGGAGTGTCTAGACGATGTGAGTTCAATGTTCCAAAGTGTGGGTTGAACCCACAAGCTTTTGAAGCAGATTTGACTCAGTCCCCTCACAATCTGCCCTCAAGATGTGTGTTTAGTGTCTGACACTTGATCTCAGGCTCACCTCTAATTGCCGTCAGGTCCAGACTTTGTCGTCGGAAATTGGACCAGGGTCCTGACATCAGAAGGCAGTCACTCCATTGCACACGTCCCTAAATGAAAAGTGGATAAGACAATAAACACAGTGTTACTGGAGAGGGAGGTCACACCCTGTAGCTGTCAAACTCTCTACTTGAATGGTTCCCCTTCAGTAAACTGGAACATACAGGAGCAGAAAAGACATGGTGGTCCCTCAGATCACAAGGTGAGATCGATTTTATACAGCGTAGAGTCTGGTGGCGTCGCGGTCCGAGCACTCACCTCACAAGTGAGATTTCCGGACATGTTGAAACCACAGACGAGTTTCCTTACTCAACACACCCAGACCCTCATACACAGCCTTCAGCCACTCTGCCGCCACCCTCTGGAACCCCACCCCGCAGTCCCTCCGCCTCGCCCCCTCCTTAGCCACCTTCAAGACCCGTCTCTTTTCGACCGCGCCTTGGGCCGCCCCCCCCCGCCCTCCCCCCTCCCCCCCCCCGCCCTCCCCCTTCTTTTTGACCACGCCTTTGGTCACCTTCTGCCCCCTCCCCCCGGCTCGGCCCTGGGATCCGTTACTGTAAAGCGCTCTGAGACGCCGTCCGGCGTGGAGGGCGCTATATAAATCCAAGTTGTTGTTGTTGTCCTCCACCCTCCCCGAGCCCGAGCCCGAGCTCGGGTCCGAAACATGGACTGTCCGGCGCTTGGGGACGTCCCCCCCGAGGGTGACAGGCGCTTCACACCTGTCAGTTTTGTTGCTGTTGTTGTTGTTGTGCATTGGGCTACGTTGGGCGGGTTTTGGGCTACTAACGGATTTGGGATCGCCGGGGCGACCCCTGACCCGGCAGCAGTTGCTGTGGGACGCAGGAGGGAAAGATGGCGGCGGTGAGGCGCAGCTAAGGGCCAGAGAGAAGAGCGGGGCCGCGCCGCGCCCACACCCGCCGCACTCTCTCTCTCACTCTCACGCACAGAAATACAGCCGGTAACCGAGAGGCGGCCATGAGCCCCGCCGCCTCTTAAAGTCACCCTCCACTTCTTAAAGGGATCACCCCCACCCCAGACTCTTAAAGGGACCCCCCACCCCGCCGCCTCTTAAAGGCGCCACCATCGCCATGTCCATGGAGGATCCCTTCTTCGTCGTCAAAGGGTAAGTGAGACCTTCCTCCCAGCGCCACACGGGCTCCCGCTGGGGGGGGGTCGCCCCTCACCTTTGAACCCTCGTGATGGAATCCTTTCTCCCTCTCCCTCCCCCCACACACACACACACAGACCAGAAAGTGCCCCAACTCCCAGACCGGGGGTGAGTTACAGTCTACAATCTAATACAGGGGTTCAGGGGGTTATTGGGGTGTCCGCCCGATGTGAAAGGCTCTATACAAATGTAATTTTGTCGTTTATATATAAAACTGAATAAGGGGACCGGGGGTTATATATAGCATTAACTGGAGTCCTGTAGTTCTTGTTCCACAGGCCTGAAAATATTCTCTCAAGGATAAAAAAAATTATAATTTGGTCACTCAATCCACGACTGGTGGGACACTGCTGTTCGCAATTTTTTGCTGGGTTCTGCCCACAAATATACAGTCAGTTTACTTTACAGTACATTCTGTAAAGCGCTTTGAGATGTCTCGAAGACGTGATAAGGCGCTATTTCAAATGAAAGGATTATTATTTTATTATTATTAACTGAACCCGGGAGTCACAGGCTGGAATCTAATCCAAGGGAATTATTCATGGAATCTAATACCAGGTGCCCAGGTTATCTGACATCCTGTTTGACAATCTCCGCCTCACATTCAGCTCCTGCCCCATTTGCACAGTTTCTGCTCCCTGGAGTTGAGGTGGGTGGAGCATTAACTGAATCTCCAATCTAGTGAGAGGATTATAAAGTGTGGCTCCAGGCACCAGACAGGCATGGAGCAGAGCCATTCTATCCGCTTTGTATAAAGTGCTTTGTTGGTCATGATATCATTGGGTTTGTTTAAATATTAGTGGCTCATTTTAGGAGCTTGTAAAATTGATTGCAGGGCAGCTGGAAATCACTAATCACATCTGGCTCCTCTCACCAGAGCAGTTCCCTTCAGCATGAATGTGCAGTTTGCACCCTTCCAGACATGCACAGACTTCGAAGGGAAGGATTGAGAAAATCCTTGTGGTCCAACCCTCACTTGACCTGTACAATTCATAGTGTCATGGCGAGTGCCTGGATGTGTCCTTCCAGGGAGAGAGTGCGCATTCCATTCCAAAAATCTATCTCTGGAATTTCCATATGTAGATGGGAGGCATGGAATTCTCAGTTTGGTTTGGTGATGAGTTTCTGCATGTGTCAGGCACCTGTCCAACCAAAATGTTAAGTGACCAATTTTACCTGTCATATTGTTAGCCTGGACACCAGGAGAAACTCCTGGGAGGAGGAAGGAATATGGATTCCATTGGGAGTCTGAGTATTCAAGTATATGTTCTCTTTCTTACAGGGAAGTGCAGAAAGCAGTTAACAATGCCCAGGGACTGTACCAGCGCTGGACTGAGCTGCTGGAAGATCCCTCCTCAGCCAGCAAGGAGGAGTGTGACTGGACAACGAATGAGCTGAGAAATAGCCTGCGCAGCATTGAGTGGGACCTGGAAGACCTCGACGAGACTATTAATATCCTTTTGTCAACAACATCAAGTTCTGTAGCTCAGTGATTAGAGCACTCACCTCGCAAGCGAGAGACCTGGGTTCAATTCCCTGCGGGTGAAATGTTGGGCTAATTTCCTTACTTTACAACTCTCTGTTTACCTAGTAGTAAGTAGGAAATCAATTGTTAGTTGATTGGAGGATCGCTTTTCAGGGGATAATAATTTCTTCAAAAATAATAGTAATAAATTAGTCAGTTCAATCCACGATTGCTGTGCGAAATTGGCTGCTGGGTTTCACCCACAAAGTATACAGTCAATCCATTTTACAGTAAATGCTGTGAAGCACTTTGAGAAGTCTCGAAGACGTGATAAGACGCAATATCAAATGCAAGAATTATTATTATCAACTTGGATTTATATAGTGCCTTTCATGTACAATAACATTCGTGCTTCATAGTGGCCGCCAAGCAGATGGAAGAGGAGGTGACAGTAGGCTATCAAAGAAGTAGGTTTTAAGGGAGGAAGACAGATGGGTAGAGGGAAGTCGAACTGGAAAGTTCAGCGAACGATAGGGGTGGATGATGCAAGGTAAGCCCGAGTTAGCTGAATAAAGGGGTGAGCAGAGGAGTGGGGCAGGAGGAGATTGGAGAGAGAGTGATGTGCGAGGGCATGATGGGATTTATAGATAGGTGAGGACCTCGGCCTGGTGAGGACGGGGCGCAAGTTGCTCAGTTAACATTTTCAGGAACTCTTTCTCTCTCTCCCCCCCCCCCCTTCTCACCCAAGTGGTAGACCTTTGTGCGTGAGCTAATCAGAGATTGTGCTTTGCCGTTAAATAATACATTTAGTTTTGTGAGCAACATCGAGGAATAGAGGCTGAGGAAAATGCAGCTTGGAATAATAGTTGAGGATCGATGTGAAGTTGCCGGTTTCTGTTCAGCGCCCCCGGTTAGTGTTTGCCTAAACCTGTTAACTGTCAGGATGGCCACAGCCAGTGTTGTTTGGTTTGAAGTGCTGTAGATGTTTGTCGCTGAAGAAGTTTTGCCTTAACTGGGGTTTATGTATTGTGGAGACAAATCCTCGCAAGTTTAACCTGGATCCAGCAGAACTGAGCAAGAGAAAAGCATTTATCACAAGTACAAAGCAAATTGTGAAGGTAACCTCACCTCCTGCCTCGAGTACTCCAGTGCCGTCTGCACTGGTCTCCCCAGCTCCACTATCCCAAAATCCAGAATTCTGCCACCTTCATGCTCACCTGCACTAAACTCCGCACCCCTAGCTCGCCAGTTCTTGCCAGACTCCAATGGCTCCCTAACATGAAACGGATCAATTTCAAGATCCTCACACTCGTCTACAAATCCCTTCGTGTCCTGGCGCCTCCCTACCTCTCCGACCTGCTTATACCATCGGTAGACGCGCTTTCAGCTGTTACATCCTGAAACTCTGGAATACTCTCCCTCAAGAGGGTCCTGAGATGGGTCTTGAAGGAGGCAAGGGAGGGGGCAAGGCGAAGGGACTGGGATGGAGTTCCAAAGGGTGGGGGCAGGGAGGCTTTTCAGCCGATAGTGGAGTGGACACCGTGGGAAACATGGGTGACAGCCAGAGTCTGCTGAGTAGAAGGAGCACACGACCACATCCAGACTCATGGTTAAGTTTTGGACTTTTAGGTTCTCTTGTTAGTTGGTGCTTTGACTGAACAATGTAGTGGGTTGTAGGTTTGTATCAACTTAACAGCACACGTCAGGTGCTCCCATCCCACTCTGACACCATTTACCTTTGCAGCTGAAGCTCTGCAGTTACTCACTGTTATTTTGTTACTCACCAATTATTTTGTTGCATTGACAGGATATGAAGGATCATATGTCCAGTTCCTCGGTACAGGCATTAGTTGAACAGAAGAACAGACAGGCAAGTATGGTGCTTTAGCTGATCAATATAGCTAGCCAGTGCTCATAACCCCTCTGCATCCCAACGTCAAACAGGGTGGATAAAGTTCCCATTTCAGCACCACAAAATAAATGCACGATAGATACAGAATTCAGAATCTCTGAGATGCCTGTCACATTGACAGACGATTCAAGAGCTCAATTCCTCACAGAACACGTACCTGACACACAGCCTGACGAATGCTGCTGCAAATCACTTTTGGAAGAGAATTTCTAATTGCTCCTATGCCAAAGTAGAAGTCTGTGTACTTATGTATGCACATTCACGCATATACACTTGCACATTTGCTCATATGCCCAAACATACTAGCATGCTCACATACATACAATCATAGACTCAGAAACAAGCTCACGTGATATAGACACACACACATACACATGAATGTACAAACACACTTGTATATGTTATATACACACCGGCACGCTCATCTCCTCTGAGATACCTGTGATCAAAGCAACTGTATTCAAATACGTCTTGCTCCCGTTCATTGCAGCTACCGACCCTCTTAACAAGCACCTGATTTTACTTGTGGGGAAAGTTTGCTGCAGTCCTGTACAGAGGCATTGTGCTGATAACAAGGCCTGAGTCCAGAATTGGGTTCTATGACTCAGTGAGTTATTAAAGCACAGAGCGCAGCAGGAACAACTGAATGCTTGTTTCTTGCACGCAGGCTCTGCTCGGCAATGGTGGAAGCCAGGGATGGAGCTCCACTCCGGAGAATAAGTACAGCCGGCTCGACCGAGAGCTACACACGGTGAATTCACAGTACATCGATGAACAACAGGCACAGCAGCAGGTACCTGAGCAGCAATGGGTCTGACAACAACATTACATTTGTATGGCGCCTTTCACGTCAGGACGGGGGAGTAAGGGATAGCTCTCCATCTGTCGTAAAGGAATCTTCCCCCCACCCCCCACTGCTGTGTCAAATAAAAGTGGGGAGTTCCAATTGTTCTTCCTATCTTGGATCCCACTCTCAATCCACGTTTACCCACCAAAATTTGGAATCATTGGCCACTTATCTCTTTCCATTGAGAGCAGTGTCTGGCAAGCGCTTTCCCAGAGCTCGTCTGGCTAGGACCACCCTACCGTTAGAGCTTTGGTTTGCAGGGTTAAGCCTGAATGGAAGGATTTCCTGTCCCCAGTGACTGGTCTGCCCTTCCAAGTCCCGCTGATGAGCCAAGCTGGGCTGTGCTGTCATCAGCAGTGCCCTGGAATACTGTGGACTCCCCTGGCCTCAGGAACTGGAGTGGAGACCGTCACAGAGGACTGGCTCGATTCTGACATTCCGTTGGCAAACATGTCACCTTGGAGCCAGTTCAGCTCCAAGTGACTTGCAGGTCTTGTCCTGGACTGGCTACTGATGTGTGTCTTATGATGGTTTGGAGGCTGACGCTGTCTCTCTCTTGTCTGTGGCAGCTGATCGTGGAGCAGCAGGATGACCAGCTACAACTGGTGTCGGGCAGTATCGGGGTGTTGAAGAACATGTCACAGAAGATTGGCAACGAGCTGGAGGAGCAGGCGGTGTGAGTGTGGCCGCTTCATAGAATCATACAAACTTACAACACAGAAGGAGGCCATTCGGCCCATCGTGCCTGTACCAGCTCTTTGGAAGAGCTACAACTACTCCCACTAACCCGCTCTTACCCCATAACACTGCAAATTTTTCCTTTTCCATTACCTATCCAATTCCTTTTTGAAAACTACTATCAAATCTGATTTCAGGCAGCCTCCCCTATCTCTCACTTTAGACACTGACACAACCTTGCTCCCATCTTATAGCAACTGTAAAATTAAACCGTGGCTCTGATGTAAATAATAATATTTTGGAAAATAATTTTTAGAAAATAATATTTTGGGATACTGTATATGAGTAATTTGAGACATGATGTAAGTGTAGTTTGCTTGGAAGAACCAAGCAACTTTGGATCTAAAGTTCCCAAAGCTTTCCACTCTGTTGTAGAGTAATCTATACAGAATTAATTCCAATCAATTAATTATCAAACAAAGGGAAATATATTTTACTGAATTCTGTGAGGTACAGGATTTTAACTTTAACTCCTAGGTTAAAATTCTTAGTGTCCTGTTTAGTTGGTTAGCATTACTTCAAGTGAAACAACATTATCATGACAGAATACAACAAGATTGCATTTATAAGAGCGCGTTTCACGTCGGGAGGACGTCCCAAGGTGCTGGACAGTTGGGTCGAGACCCGAGCAGGGGGGAAATGGTCAGGGTGAGGGGAGGGAGTGAGGAGGGGATAGAGAGTCAAGAGGGGAGCTGAAGGCACGGTTGAAGAGAAAGTGAGATACTTTTTCCCCTGGTTGGAGAAACTATAACCAGGGATCACAGTCTTAAAATTAGGGGGTAAGCCCTTTTGTACTGAGTTGAGGAAAAACTTCTTCACTCAGAGGGTAGTGAATTTATGGAATTCTCTACCCCAAAGCGTTGTAGATGCTCAGTCCTTAAACATTTTCAAGACTGAGATTGATAGATTTCTTGTGGATAAAGGGATTAAGGGATATGGAATAAGGCGGGTAGGTGGAGTTAGAATAGATCAGCCATGATCTTATTGAATGGCGGGGTAAGCTCGAGGGGCCGAATGGCCTACTCCTGCTCCTAATTCTTATGTTCTATCAGGTGAACACCTGATGTGGCGTTGGCAGGGAATGGTATTTTGTTACTCTTGGACATGTCTTAAACCGGACAAAATAGCTGTCCCCAATTTGTCCAGTTTCCACTGTATTCTGTGAAGCGCTTTTAAGACATCTCAACAATGTGATAAGGGGCTATATCAAATGCAAGGATTATTATTATCATCAATCTCCAATATTGTAGCATGTGACTACCAGAATGGTAGAAAGTGAACTAGATGAACCGTGGTCTTTTTCTGTCTAGCAATTCCTATATTCCCTTGAGTTCTAGAAAGCTGAAGTAGGATCTCTATCAGTCTGGCTCAGTCGGTACATTCTCACCTCAGAGTTGTGGGTTCAAGAGCCCCATCAGGACTTGATCTTACAGTTTAGGCTGATACTCCAGTGGAGCACTAAGGGAGCACTGAATTGTAAGTAAGTCCTACTCTTCAGATGAGACCTCATCACAGTGGTGGACAGCATTTTTTGTCGCCAACCAAAATGCATTTTCTTGTTTAAATATTTCTTGATTTATGGCCACACAATAAATGTGGCTACTCAGTAGCTACTGGAAGCAAAATATTAATTTAACACAGGCTTACCTAGACCTAGTGCAAATGTTCGGCAGCCATTTCTTCATGCACCACGGCCATAAGTTGGTCACCACTGCTTTAACCCACAGTCCTGTCTCTACCTATTCAGGTGGATGTTTGTGGGACGTTGCTATGCACATACTGGCTACCAAGTTTGCCCACAAACTGCACATAGTCACACCACTTCTTGTGAAGCGATTTGACACATCGCAACAAGATGATAATGTGGTATACCAAATGTAAGCATGTGAAAGATCCCATAGTCCTTGCCGACTATCCCCCATGTAAATTTGTCATTCAAGATTTTGCTTGCATAATGTGGCTTTCTGCATTTAAAACAGTCACTACATTTGACAATAATAACTGTAAAACACTTTGAAAGATGTTTTAGCGCCTGAAGCATTGTGAGAAGTTGTTTCTGCGGTGTGTGATGAATATTGTCCGAGTCAACGCCAGGCTTGCTGATTGCTGCCTCTCTCTCCCTGCAGAATGCTGGATGAGTTCTCTTACGAGCTGGACAGCACGCAGAACCGTCTAGATAACGTCATGAAGAAACTGGCCAAAGTGTCCCACATGACCAGCGGTGAGTTGGAGGAACTTGAACGCATTCGTGCAAGAGGGAATTTTCTGTTCAACAGCTTCAATATATTTACATTGTCATTGAGCGTTTCCTTCCTTTCTCTTCCTCTCTTGAAGAGGGTGACGGATGCTGGCTTCCAGTACCTCACCAAAATAACGTTAAACTCAGACCTTTAAGGAGTCCCTTAACGCAGTAGTTAGGATGCTCATCTCACAAGCAAGAGGACCTGGGTTCAATTCCCAGCAGGGCAAAATCTTAGACGCGTTTCCTGACTCCACGTTCCTGTTTACTTAAAGGAAAGTAGAACCCTGGTAATGAATCGATTGGTGGTTCACTTTCTGGGGTAATAATCCTTCAAAAAAAAAAAGAATTTGGTCACTTAATCCACGACTGTTTGTGGGACATTGCTCTGTGCAAATTGCTGCTGGTTTTGCCTACAAAACACAGTCACTGCACTCAACGACGTGATAAAGCACTATATCAAATGCAAAGATTATTATTATTTAAGTAGGCTTGGGCAAAGCAATGGATCCATCTCAGTGATCTGCTACCCAGCCATTCCCTCCACTCTACCAAATGTGAGCTGCTTCACGCCTCACTCTCTACTCTGCCTTCCAATTTCAGCTACTTTGCCGCCACCCACTAGATCTCTCTTTAGAAGTTACTTTGCCCCCTCCCTCTTTGCTTTTAAAATCCTATCTAAACACCTCTCATTTCGACAACCTCCGGCTCCCAGCTTAGGCTCCCAAACTATCTTTGGACTTCATGTATGTACACAGGCTGTGCCTAGGCCAATAATGTATGTAATGCTGGTGATATGGGAAACATAGTGCCTCCGCTTCATTAGCCTCTATTTTGAATGTCTGAGCACAACCACAAACCTGCATCTTTACTTGTGTTAATGAGGTTCATGTGTTTATCAAATGTGGTGGTTGTATTTATCTGACTGATTGTAGCCTCTGATTGGGCAGTGCTGATGCAGACAGGCGGTGCGTATCTGTGTGGGAGACGGTTAAAAGTCCCCAATGTGATGCAGAGTTTGATTCGGGGAAATAAGGTTAGAGCAGCAGGAAGTTGTGGATGGAAACAGGAAGTGGGCGTAGAGAAATTTCCAGGAAATGACACTGGTGCTTGACTCCAGCCTTTTTAAACCCTGACTTCAGCAAGGTGAAGAGATCACGTTGGGTGTCATCGAGTGTCATATTACACCTCTTCTCAGCCAGAGTAAGCGATCATTATATCCATAGTAATGAAGGAGAGTGGTGGGCTGATGAGGAATCTGTAAATTGGCTCGTTTATGTCCTTGGATTTTATTCTGGTGTATGTGTACCTTCACCAATCTCGAGAGTCAGATTGGAGATGAAATGGCTCCCCTGCCATTATATAAAGCTGAGCTTTAATACCGATGATTATAAGTTTGAACCAGCATCGTGGCCAGTCTGGTAGCACTTGGTATGAAGGTTTATGATCAAATGCAAGGATTATTATTAAAAGGTTGGGATGGGGATACACATTATTGGCCCTGTATTTGGCGAAACAGCTATGATGGCCCCAAGACTGAACAGCCCCGCAGTCAGTGGGCCACAGACTCTTGGCTGAGGTCCCATAGGCTGGCTGACGGTAGCAGGAATATTTGAAGTTCAGAACGAGCTAGTAAAATGAAAACATTCAGCAAAGTCAATCAGCTTCCTGTACATGTTTCCTTCCCTGCTTAAGCCAAGACATTGTTCAGTAGGTGTTGTTCTGTGGGAAGGGAAAGGGATGGAACCCGGTGCCTTCTCCCGATGCCAGTATTTACTTATACCTTGTGGCTTCTTTCTTTTCCTCCTGTCGTCATCCTGTGTGCAGTATTCCTGAGCCTGAGTGGTGGGATCCCGCCAACAGGCCTTGCCAATGGTCTGTGGGACCGGATGCTGGGGGTGGGGGTGGAAAGAGTCCCGGGAGACGGGGCACTTCCTGCACTCTGCTCTACATCCTGGATTTGGTGTGTCTGAAGTTTCACCGCCCACTGACTCTTCTTCCTTCCTATGTTTTATACACTAACACCTGGAGCAGAATCGCCTCTTCAGTGACTGAGGGGCAGCTGCACTGGCTCTGATCGGCTAATTCAGCACAAACCAAGAGTAAAACCTGTAACCATGTGCTCTGTATGACTCACTGCTAACTGTGGCTTTACACAATAAGATGATAGTGGGTGGATCGGAGAAGGTTTTTGCATGTGGTAAATGTTTGCTCAGAGTAAGAAAGTGATGCAACTCAGTCAAGACTGCGGCACTGTGCCAGAGCACTGTAAAGCTAGGTGCTGTGATATGTGAGTGTATCCTGCGGGTGCCATCACGGTCAGTGATTTATCTCTAGGCTGCTTCACACACACAGATTACAAATCGGAAGCAGAGTTCACTCAGGAGGCTCTTGGGTGCTTGGCTGTAGAATACAATACAGATTTACATTTAATAATAATAATCCCTGCATTTGATATAGCGCCTTGTCACGTCTTACAGACATCTCAAAGTGCTTCACAGGACATACTGTAAAGTGAATTGACTGTATATTTTGTGGGTGAACTTATACAGGCTCTTTCTCGTCAGGAAGAGATCCTGAAGCTCGTTATTTTTTGGTGGGTCAAGCGGGTGTCTGACACCTGCTGAAACCTATCACCTTGCTTAAGAGTATCCAAACCAAACAGAATTCCATGCAGCCCACATTCACATAGAAATTTCAGAGATAAAATGCTGGAATGGAATGTACACTCTCCCTGGTGGGACGCATCCTATTTACCCAATCCCTGGTTCAGGTACCGGACTACTGAAACCACCACAGAAGGTTGGCTCCATTTCGATATTCCGTTGCGAACATGTCACCTTGGAACCAGTTGCTTACCCTCCCACCCACACCCTGGGCCTGAAGGAGGATAGTGAGGCGATAGTAACATTGTGTCAGGCCTGACTGAATATTTAGCAGACGGTGAAAAATAAAGAATTAAACTTTTTTTAAAAATCCTTTCTTCCACAGATCGGCGGCAGTGGTGTGGAATCATCATTCTACTCATCATCCTGCTCGTGGTGCTGATATTATTTTTCACTCTCTGATCGAGGAGGTTGACCTGAAGTTGACGTGAGAGGAAGTACAGGATAGGACCGGGTGGGGAGGAGTTAACACTTTCCATTCTGTGACGCGTACTTTTCATCAGTCGTTTTTTCTCAGGTTTTTCTGTTGCTGATGAGAAGGTTTCTCCGTGAAGATGTCCACGTCAATCTGACCAATCTAATTCTCACCGGCTTCCTTTGGCTCATCACTTCTGATGTCTGTTTGCCAAAGTGGGCCAGTGAAACATGCAAGCCAGGCATTGTCAGGGTACGCAACTGTGCTTGGGTGAGAAACCTGCTCCTCTGTAACTCTCCTTCATCCTTCTTCACTGCTCAAAATCTGTCACGTTCCAGGGTGAAAGTGTGGAGAGTGGAGACGCCAGGCATTCTGCAGGGAGTGAGGGAGTTGAGTCTAACATAATCAGACAGTGACGAAGAGACTCTGTTCCTGTTGCCTGCGCTGACCCAATCTCACATACCCCTAATACATTTACCCATCCCCCCCCCCCCAAGTGTTCACAAAGTCTGAGCAGAGGGATTTTGAGAGGATAAAGTGCATTTGCTCTCAAGGTTCACTCTGTCAGACTATCAACTGGAATGTACCTAAAAAGTCAAGTTTTCCACAATGGTTCAGTAGGTAAATACACTACCTTGGGAGAATCTCAGCCAAACTGACGGTCCACAGTTGTCAAGTTAGCTGATCTCATCTGAGGCGGAGATACTGCAATTAGCTTCAGCTTGTCCAGATTAGGAAGAGGAAACAGCAGCTCAGGTTACTGTTTCTGATCACTATCCGGAGACAATGTTGCATACATACACAGATTTGTGTGTAACAGGCGTTGTCGAAGGATAGTATCAGGCTTGGCTGCGATGCCCCCTGTGGCCCCATTACCCTGCAGACAGGCCTGATTGAGGAATGAGCACTTAGCGCTTAACAGAAGGAGGCTAGGCTTGTGGAACCATTTGCCAGCACGAGTTAGTGCCTTCAAGGGAAAAGCTGAGAGAGACAAAGTGAGCATGTCTAGCCGTTTGTCTGTATTTGATTATATAGCTATAAAGCTGCTGGCTACATTTCTCACTGTAACAAGACTGAAGTACTCCAGCATGTAGAGGCAATCAACACTGACCCACCGGGAGGACATGTTAAAGCAAGCCAGCTGTGGCTTCAAATGTAGCCCCTGTGAAAAACTCCTCATTAACTCTTGGTGTGCCACAGGTGTTTTTACATACCTGGAAATGCCTACGGACATGTCTGTGGGTCATAGACATTACACGGTTGGACATGCTAGTCTGGTGCAGGTTACAGGCATGTTTAAATGCCTGGACAGATTGGCCACCACTGCTTTAGAGTTACCAAACCAAACTGAGAGTTCCACATATGTCACGTTTACATGTCTTTGAAGGACATGGCTGGACAAGCTGGTCCTGTTGACCACAACTAAACTTTTTAGAAGTGAAACATCTACGAATTGCCGCCACGTTCTGCAGCCTATGAGGTACCATATGTTAAATAACAAGTTGCTGCCGCCTCCTAGTTTAGTTAGTCCAGGCAAAAGGGAAACAACGTCAGAAAATATATTCAAGGTAGAAATTTAGTCTTGCAGAGAGAATTAAGAGGAAAAGGTCTGGCCAGAAAATTAATTGCTAATTTTTTTCAGTTAAAAGTAACAAAGACATTCTTGACACTTTCTCCTATATTTTTGAGAAGATATTAGTGATTGTTTGACCATCACTGTACATGACCAAAAAAACATTCAATAGGCCCAGGGAGACTGAATGTGGTGGTTGGCAAAGGGTTAGACTGATGCCGAGGGTCAAGAATCATTTCAGCTGTGACACTTCCCTTTAACCCTGCGCAGGGCTAGAACGAGCTAACGTTACTTCAAACATACATCCATGTTATTCCGTGGTTATGTTTCAAGCAAGACAGAGTGCAGCCCAATCGTGCACCACACACCAGGAACCCTGACCAAATCACAACGTCTCTGCAACTTCTGTATCTAAACCTTTTCTCTACACAAATCAAATTAGAACACAAGCCTCTTGAAACCCAGTACTCCTCACCTGGATGTGAGTAAAATGTCATATCTATAAAGATAACCAAGTATATTGCTGGGAGGAATCATTTACACTGGATACTAATCTTTACTGCATCCTCCTCTCCCTCCACCCCCATAAGATGTATTTGCTGACTTGTTTGAGTGTGTTTGTGTGCGTAGGTGTGTTGAATGTCTCTTGCATTTTGTTTCTGGAGCATTCCTCATTTGCCCAGACACTGCAACGGTTCATTATGTGTTTTGTACTGTTTTAAGTTTATTCTTCATAAGAGCTCCTGTGGCCTGGTACAGACCTGTGGGCTCTCTTCCTCTTGCTTGAAGATATGTTTTTTTGAGCACCCTCCAAGACTTGGCCATTATTTCTCCTTTCTTTCCTCCCCTCCATTCTTCAGGTGGGAGGGAAATAATGGCAAAGTCTGCTCCTGTCCTCACCCAGTGCCCACACAAAGCTCCTAGCAGGGGTCTGTTTCTCTCTGTCTCCCTCACTGAGTTAGGTGCTGAGGCCCCAGGACTGAGATCAGCAGTCTAAGCACCGGTGCAGAGCCCAACCAGCAACTTTTTGATCCTTGTGACTGTAACAAGCAAGAGTTTCAAATAATCCCTGAAAGGTATTAACATGTTTTTAACATTATTCAAAGCATATTAAAGGGCTTAAAGCATTCAAAGGGCTTAGTAAACCTGATGTGTGGTGCGAGGCTGAGCGATGTAGATGCTCGATCCTCAAGTCTCTGCTGAGATAGCTGATCTCAGCTGCTTGGGGTAGCAGTTGGCCTCTGGGCTGGGAGGTGAGAGAAGTTCAGTTGGGTTCCCACAGCTGATCACATTGACCCTGTTGGAAGGAACAGGTGTGTAGATGTCAGGTAAGGATGTCACATGGGCTTAATTAACCAGGATGCCCTGCCAAAGCTCAACAGCAATCCTTCCCCACAAAGAATGGCTGCTTGAGGGACATCCTAAGGCAGGGTGGCTGTTTCTGCCTGTGAAACTGCCCCAGCACAAGGCAGTTTTTTTCAGCAGGGAGAAGAGAAAAACACTGGGGAAGGGACCTGTTAGTTTCTTTCCTCTGATGAAGTGATGTATATGTAACATTTCCAGTGCTGTATTATTAGCAGGAAGTGTGAGATGATTAGTATGTTGGTTTGAATCACAAACTGGTTTTGGGGGCGTATTGCAGCTTTTGGAAACATTTAAATCGTGTAAAACTATTTAATTTATTCCAAGCTTTCACCCACAAAGTGTAATCATGGCATTCATTCAGTCAAACAGTTCATGATGTTTGCTTGTATGTCTGACAACATTGTCATTAAAATTTACAATATATTCTTGGGAGCTCAGAGAGTCCGTCCTGATGTTACGTTCTGAAGGTAGTATGATGGAAATGGTAATAAACTGAGAATTCTCTGTGGGGCAATCGTGTTTCTTGCTATTCCCACAGTGTTCGGAACAATGAAAAGAGGAAGTGGCAACCATGCACTGTGGAATCACAGCCATTCAAATATCTTTGTTCACCTTTCTCGCCCTCTAACCTGCACTGACTACCTTTCTCACTCAAGCCGTGGAGTCCTGTAGCATATTCAATAGTGAATGCACCTCGGGTTTAATTCCTGGACGTTTTCTTACTCCACACGCCTCTGTTTACCTAGCAGTAAGTAGGAACCTGTTTATTAGTCAATTTGTGGATCATTTTCCAGGGGTAAAAATACCTTCAAATAATAATAATTCGGTCACTGAATCCACAACTGTGGGACACTGCTATGTGCAATTGGCTGTTGCGTTTTGCCCACAAAATATCCAGTCCAGTTGATTTCACTTTACAGCATTTTCTGTGAGGAGCTTTTAGATGTCGCGACAACGTGAAAAGGTGCAATATTAAATGCAAGGATTATTATTATTAAACCTGCACAGATCTTCACTGACTACCTTTCTCACCCCCACCCCCCCCCCAACCCACACGCTGATTGGCAAGTGGCTTTATTAAGCCTGATGTTCCTTGTCTGAGTCTTGTAGTGAGCGACAGGCCTTTCTGTCTCTGCAGATCCTCATAGGACAGAATACAAAGGCAGTGACTGGCATGAGGTGGGCCTCAGCTGGCGCTTAAATAATGTGACCAACTCCTGGGATTGGGTTTTATGTCTGGATTATACCCGCTGTTATATCATCACAGCCGAGCCTGTCTTTCCAGCAGGGAGATCAGTGGAGAGGGGTCAAGAGAAACGTTATTAACCTTTGCAGCACATCAATTACTACTGCCATGAAAGTCAACTTATTTTATAGGAACAGGAGTTTGCCATTCAACAATAACAACAAGATTCCATTTATAAAGCGCCTTTCACGTCGGGAGGACGTCCCAAGGCGCTGTACAGTTGGGTCAGGACCCGAGCAGAGGGGAAATGGTCAGGGTGAGGGGAGGGAGCGAGGAGGGGGTAGAGAGTCGAGAAGGGAGCTGAAGGCACGGTCAAAGAGAAAGGTCTTGAGACCGGCCTTGAAGGAGGAAAGGGAGAAAGCAAGGTGAAGGCACTGGGGGATGGAGTTCCAGAGCCTCGGGGCTGAGAGGCTGAAGGCCCGGCCACCGATGGTAGGGCGGTTGGGGCGGGGGATGTGGAGCAGACCGGAGCCAGAGGAACGGAGCCTGCTGTAGCATCATGGAATCTTACAGCCCAGGAGGCCATTCGGCCCATTGTGCCTGTGCCGGCTCTTTGAAAGAGCTATCTAACTAATCCAACTCCCGCACTCTTACCCCAGAATTTTTTTCCCTTTCAAGCACTGCCATTCTATTAGATGATGGCTGATCTGTACCTGTGTTTGATATGGTTCCTGCTGTGCAATTTGTACACAGCAATGTTCCACAACAACTATGAAGTGAACCACCGCTACCATGCTCACCTACAAAATACACTAATACAGTACTTTGATGGGCCGAATGTGCTCCTTCTGTAAGATTCCATGATTCAGAGTATAGCCTGTGAAGCACTTTGATGCGTCCTCCTCATGTGAAAGTTTCTATATCAAATGTAAGGATTATTATTAATAACTAACATTAAAACTTTCTGGCTGGAACCTTGTATGAAACTGAGCCATGGTGCCTGGTTGGCTGGTGCTGAATTTCCCCACCTGGGTAGATATGTACCAATTTACCTCAGCGTACCTGGGCCATGGAGTGGAAAAATCCAGGAAGATCATTGTCATTGCTAACCATTGCCTCTATATAATCCATCCTTCGTTTGAGATATTAAAACTGAAGTTCCACTGGTCTGTTCAGGTAAATGTTAAAAATTCCATGACTATTCAAAAAGTGAAGGGAGTTTCTCTTTCCCAGTGTCCTGGCCAACAATCACCCACTCCCACCTCCCCCATTAAATTGGTCTCTCACTCCATAGCTGTTTGTGGGTCACTGCTGTGCCAACTGGCTGCCGCGTTTCACCCAAAAAATAGAGTCAATCCACTTTGCAGTTTATAATAATAATCCTTGCATTTGATATAGCGCTTTTCATGTCTTCTAGACGCCTCAAAGCGCTTCACAGAATATACTGTAAAGTGAATTGAATGTATATTTGTGGGCAAAAGCAGCAGCCAATTGCGCACAGCAATGTCCCACAAACAGTAGTGGATTGAAGTGACCAATTTATTATTGTGAATTTTTTTCTTGAAGGATTATTATCAGGCGTGTGGAGTAAGGAAACTTGCCTAAAGTTTTGCCCTGCCGGGAATCAAACTTAGGTCTCTCGTTTACGAGGCGAGTGCTCTAACCACTGAGTGAAGCACTTTTAATACATCTCAATGTGATAAGGTGCTATAATAATGAGCAGGATCCCAGCCCTATGTTGTTTCACCCTTTCTCCACCTCCCCTCCCCACAGAAATCAGACTATTGCCTCGCATTAGCACTGATACAGATCCATGTCCCCTGAGCTCAGAGGTTACATCCAGTCCCCTTCAAAAATCCTTTAAATTTGACCTGGGAATTTTAAACCTTCCTGTGTATGAGACACAATGGAGGTGTAATAATCTATTGATGGAAGTGTGATTATAGTATAAGATTAAAGTAGAGGCCTTCAGCCTTTCTGCGCCCACCCTTTGGAACTCCATCTCACAGTCCCTTTGAAGTGCAGTGACTCCTACTAAGGCAAATGCAGCAGTTAACTGTGACAATACCCCACACAGCTTTGAGAAGAATGATCAGTCAATTGGTGGATCGCCTTCCAGGGGTAATAATGCCTTCAAAAAAATATATCTTTTGAAGAGCTACAAGACATCTCAACAATGTGGTAAGGCGTTATTACAAATGCAAGGATTATTATTTATTGTTATTATCAATTTGTTTTGGCAGTGATGGTTTTAGTGAAAATTTTGATCAGTAAGAATATTGACCAAGGCACTGGGAGAAACTCCTTGCTCTTCAAAATGGCATCATTGGATCTTTAACATTCATTTGAATTTCCGAGAGCCAATCTGGAACTCGATTTAACTCCTCACCTAAAGGTCAGCTGCTCTGATAATACAGTGTTCCCCAGTACTGCACAGGAGTGTCAGTCTGGCTAATGAGCTCAAATCCCAGCATGGGGAAATCACTCTGTTCATAACCAATTGTTAATGTAAGCTTATTTTTAAAATTTAAAATGTATCCCTTTTACAAAGCTTGCACAGTATGGCCCACAGATTTGAGTTTCTCACTATGGGGTGGGAAGAGGAAGGAGCTCTCCCTACACAGACTACTCTTAAATATGAGTCCTATCCTGTTGATGACCAGCCTATGAAATAATTTAGGAGTGATCCAAGTACGGTGTTATGATGGCAAGCACCGCCAGCCCAATAACTTGCATTTAAACATCGCCATCCAAGGAGGGTAATATTTCCGAGTGCCTGTCGAGAACCACAGATCTACAGGGTGACCAAAAAGTTTACCATTAGATAATAGGGTAGATATCATGACTTTTTGGTCACCCTGTATTTTGTATGGTTTGGTTTGTGCTTTGCAGGAGGGTTAAACATTGGGAAGGGGCAGTGGCCATTTTTAATATTAATAATAATAATCCTTGCATTTGATATAGCGCTTTTCACGTCGGGAGGACGTCCCAAAGCGCTTCACAGAACACACTATAAAGTGAATTGACTGTATATACTTGTGGGCGAACGCGGCAGCCAATTGCGCACAGCAATGTCCCAGAAACAGTCGTAGATTGAAAATGACCAATTTTTATTTTTGGTTTTGGTTTTTGGAGGGATTATTATTAGGCTCTGTGTGGAGTAAGGAAACTTGCCCAAGGTTTCGCCCTCTGCCTGGAATTGAACTTAGGTCTCTCACTTGCAAAGCGAGTGCTCTAACCACTAACCACAGGACTCCACAATTTTTAGAAAAAAATGAAGGACTTCAATTAACTGAACAGGAATGGAGTGATAACTGCAAGAGGGAAGACTGTCCAGTGGAATGTAACGGGTTAATGAATAAGTGGACTTGCTCTTTGTCAGTGACATCATGCTATCTGTCCTGCAATGAAAGTGTCCTGACAGCAGGTGAGGGTGGATTTGCAAAGCATCCGCCTCTTTCCTTTAATCCCCTGAGTGCAGACAGACAAGCAGCAGCTGAGGCTTTCTCTCTCTCTCCTACCCCCAGGGCAGCAGGACAAGCTGTCTAACCAGCTGGACATATTAGCATTGCAATGCAGTCTGTGGGAGGAAGGTCTGTCTGGGCAGGATTAGGTGAAAGGCCATTTACTGACAGGCAGAGCTGACCCCAGGACTCGGGCAGATCTCTTTCACTCCCAGCACCTGGAACTCCTGTACATCTGCCACTTGCTTCCTGCCCACAGGGGGCCATCACAGGATTTAAGGTATCCGTCCTCTGACCCTCAGGGTACAGACAGCCCTTCACAAACAACAGGTCTGTTTCTCCCAGACGGTGTTTCAGAAGCTTCTGACGTGGGAGTAAGGTATGGAAACCAAATGCAAGTCTTCTTACAGGAGTCCTTTAGAGTATTGGTTAAAGCACTCGCGATCTTCCAATCAACAGGAACTGTTCCAAAATCCAGGGAATTCTGGAAGATCAAAAACAATGCATCCATTATTTCTGCAGTCACCTCTTTTAAAACCCAAGGATGCAGGCCATCAGGTCCAGGGGATTTATCAGTTTTTAGTCCCATCCTATTACTTCCTACCCCTCCCCCTGGCTCGGTCCTGGGATCCCTTGCTGTAAAGCGCTCTGAATATTATACGCCTCTTCTTTTAATTTTATACTTTCCTTAACATCTCTATTTAGCCATGGTTGAACCACTTTTCCCGTGGAATTTTTATTTCTCAAGGGAATATGCGTTCACTGGGAATTATCTAATATATCTTTGAATGTTTGCCATTTCTTGTCTACCGTCATATCTTTTAATCTACTTTCCCAGTCTATTTTAGCCAAATCATC